TTGATGTCGAGGCCGTCAACCTCGATCTTGCCAGACCCCAGTTCCAGGAGCCGGAGAAGACATAGTATCAGCGTGCTCTTCCCGCTGGATGAGGAAACCGTGAGCGACTAGATATATCGGTACCACATGGAGACTCACCTCCCTGTGCGTCCGCACACGACAAGTTTCTGACCTGCAGCGATGCTCAAGCTTACATCTCGTAGAGCCGTCGATTCGGATCTGAGTTTTCTGCACGTGAGCTTGTGGGATGCGTAGCTTTCAGCATTGGACCTACTGGTAGGAAGCAGTGACATTCCTAAACTCGACATGCCCTTTCGATGGCCAGTCTCCGGGGGGTTCCAAACCTGGAGAATTGTCCACCTCAGACGGAGTCAAAGTTTCGAGGGACTTCAATCGCGAAATAGCACCGAGAGATGTCTCTAGTGTCGTCCAGCTTGCCACGAGTTTTAGTAATGTGGCATTCGCCGAGAGCATAATGTTCAGGGCAATTCCGACTTGTGCGCCGCTGATCGTGCCTCGCAACATCACCGCTATGGCAACGACACTGCTTGAGACAATAGCGGCAAAAATGTCAAGAACAATCTTGAGCCACAGCTGAAGAGCCAAGAGGAGATATTCTGGGCGCTGGGAGTTGTCGATACACCTGATGTTGTCTTGGGTAGCGGCTCTAGACCAGCCGAACGCCCTTATTATGTCTAGACCATCAATCTGCATGATTCCTTAGCTCCATCTAACAAGCCCGAAACGAAGTGACCAGCTTGGGATACCTACGGTTTCCAAAAAGCCAGAGAACATGCCGGCCTGAGATTGTAACTTCAAATACTGGAGCGGCCTTGAGATCCGCAAATATACCTTTTGCACCCAGTATACTAAGATTGCGCAGGCCGGTAGAGACAGGGCAAGCCACTTCTGAGCCTTACAGAGGACAATGACCTGCACGAGAAGCTTCAAAATTTCTAACCAGGTTGATATCTTAGCGCCTCGAAAGAGTGTAGCGAAGGAAGGGTGTGCATATTCATACGAGTTACAAGTGTTTGCAGTGCTGATGGCAACTGCTTGTCGATAATCTGAATATCCTGACTGAATCTATCGAATGTCAGCTCGAACCGAAGTATACAGGGTTGTATTTTGTGTTTACCTGTTCAGGATCGAGCCATCAGCTGTTCGAGAAAAGTAAGATAATGGGGCGCTATTCGAAAGAGACACCATTTAGTATCATCACGGCATTGACGTGATATTTACTGACCTCATGATAATTTGGAGTAGTCTTTTATGTATTCGTGATCCAGAGTGGGGAGCAAGTCGGATGACAATAGACCCGTTGGGCTGTTAGCGGCATTGAGAAAGGGGTCAGTCGCGGGCAAGCTTACCACATCTGGGTGCTCGTTGCGGCCCAGGACATGAAAGATAATAAGAGGAACCCCCCAATGTAAAAGGTATTATTCCGGCCACCCACCTCGGTCCAGAGCCGAAGCCAATACTGCGGGATGGTAATAAAGAAGGCATACAGGGCAGTAGTGGTAAGCAGGAGGAGGAGGTTCGCGAGACCCGTAAAACCGAAATAGTAGCCTGCGTCATGATGAGCGACGAAATTCGAAGTTCGGAGGGAAGATTACTATAGAGACTAGTATCGCCAGTCTGCCTTGCCAAGTCTACATACGTCTCGTCTTTTGCCAGAATCCGGGCGGCAATTTTATCGACGTCTGCTGACCGAGTTGTGTCTTCAACTCGCTGGCCGGCAGAGAGTTTATCTATAGATGCAGCCTTGACTTTGATGTCCTGCCAAGGACCTTGGTCTACTATCCCACGATCCCCCAGAACTACGATGTGGTTCGCGAATTGGAAGTATTGAGCTATGATTGAGTAAGCATACAGATGGAGGAGGCGGTGGGCGCAGACGTACAAGAATTGGAGATGAGAACGGCGCTGGTCTTCAGTTGCCGTGTTAAGCCCGAAGCTGTAAACAGGCTTTCAAAGATGGTGCGCTCCGTCTCACCGTCCAATCCGCTGAAGGTGTCATCGAGTAAAAGTATGTCGCATCTGGCATACAGCGCACGTGCGAGGGCCTGTAGTTGTCAGCTCGGGCTGCTCTTGGCCGTACCGGGCAACTTACCACTCGCTGTCTCTGGCCTCCAGACAGATTGAGCCCTCTGTTGCCGACCCGAGTTTCATCTCCATGGGGAAGGGAGTCGAAGTCATACGCAAGACAACACGCGTTAATCACCTCATGGTACCATGTTTCCTCGTATTTGTCCGCGGCACCGCAGACCACACCTCGGATAGTGTCGCTGGGTAGCCATGGCCTCTGAGAGCAGTATGCTACCCTTCGAGTCGATAGACTAATAGAGCCACAAACCGGGACGACTTCGCCCAGCATTGCGCGCATCAACGTCGATTTTCCGCTTCCAGTAGGGCCTGAAATGATAGTAAAGGACCCCGCAGACACTCGGAGATTTATGTCTTCCAGTGAGAGCTGCTCTTGTCTAATAAGTACATTTTGGATATGAATAGCGAGGCCGGGCTTTGTTGGGCCACCACTCGTGGGGTGCCGCGAGAGATGGTTCGCCGCTGTACTTGCCATAATTTCTCTGTTGGCTTTCAGTGCCGGCTGGAGCAGAAACGTCTGTATTCTCTGGAACGCAGCGAGAGCCGCTACTATGCGCGGCACAATCGTCATAACCATGTTCGCAGGGTGGGTTACCATGGCTAGGATGGCCGTCGTGGTGAATGCAGTTCCCTTGTGCAGGTCACGGCCTTGTGCCTTTGATATCATGGCAAGAAATACCATTGTGATAGCTGGAGAGAATATCCCAAGGGCATTGGCTATCGTAGGATTAGCTTGGCTCTAGTGGATAGTAACTGTTCAGCGTTCCGTAACAAACCTGAAGCATTGTTGTATACTATGATCCATCTGAGTCTCGAGGCTGTCCAGAGCTCCTGTCTCCGAAGATCCAGAATGCGACGAGTAACACTCCCTTGGAGTCCCAGCATTTTAATGTTCTTTATGGCGCCTAGTACAGAACTAGTCGCAGCTATACGGTTTTGCGTTGCGTCGTTCCAGGCCTGTTGGCGGGGCTGTAGGTGCTTTGCGACATATCGACTCATACGAGAACATACTATCCCTCTGAGTGCCAGGCCATCGAGGAATGAATGATGAATACTTACAGAATATGAGAAATAAAGGGAGAGGCCAGATCCATCCGACCTCGCGAGCTAAGAGCGCGATACCAATCAGCACCTCGACCAGCTGAGCCCACGTTTCGTGCATCATCTCAGCAAATCCGTCGAGGTTTTCTACATCGGTACTTATAAGGGTAATGACCTTGCCATTATCGCAAGCCATGCTGGGAGACTTCATAGTCTTGTCATGTATGAGCCCCAAAAGGGCACTCTTGGTCATCATCTTGAGTCTATCAATGCCGTGTTGGTACAAGGCCGTAGATAGCTATATTGACAGGTCAGTCTCAGGTGGTTGGATCGGAGCGGTGGAACGCACAGCAAGTCCAAAATATACAATCACGGCTGATAGAGTAAGCCAATATCTATCGCCGATTCCCCCCTCTGGTACGTAAGTCGCGACGTATCTGATCGACTCCTTAATCAATGTAGGTTGAGAATAGCGAAATAAAATCAAGAATAGTCGGGGTATAACAGGAGCAAATACGTAGGCTTGAAGGCACCTCGTTAATACTAGCAGAAGAGTTCTCTCGGTCTCGGGCTTGGCTAGTCTTGTTAGATGCGCGAGAGCACGGCATGCGAGGATCTTAACTAACCTCGCTGAGACCATGCTCGCAACATTGCCTTTCTCGTGAGTTCGGGTTTCATTTCTCGGCTGAGGGGCGGTAATTCTTGGTCGCCAACAATGGGCCTATGTCCTTGAAGGACAGCTGGGCCGATCCAAGTGAATAGGACGTTATCGAAGGCGCCGTGGCGTTGCCCCGAAGACCGGCGCTTGTGACGACCAAGCGCTGGACCGTAAACACCGTACTGGAGTACTAACAGCACTAGATGGACGCAACAGCGAAGCGCTACATGGCCAACGGCGTTTCCTTGAGCACGTCTACTACAATGCATAATAAGATAGACGGTATCGCACAGAATAGAGGCGAAAAGATATACGACTGCAGGCTGTGAATTGCGTGGCTGCTGCTCCTCGTGAAATAGAAGTGGACTCAGGCCAAGAGCAGCGAGCACAGAAGCCAACAGCGAAATCGAGAAGGAAGTCTTGTATGGAATTTCCAAGGCAAACCATCCCGGCCAGTATGAAGCCAGTAGAACGGGGAGCAAGGCGATAGATGCCTAACGCCATTGAGTGTCAGACCCCAATCTGCAGAAGCTAGAAGAGTGATGAGCAGAACTACTAACGACCTTCAACGCCCCCCGCCAGCCTGTATTGTTCTTGACGAGATACCGACGAAGGGTCCAGAGCCTATTGTAGCGACTCAACAGGAATACTGCAGCACATGCTGTAGATGCGATGTGCAACACAAGTACGGGCTCTGGAGCCATCGTGAGCCGAACGGAAGCATTAGGCAGGATGCTTCTGTCAAGCGCCTCCGGAGTGGGAGCAGCTTCTCATCATACGTTTTAACAGTTGAACATACGCAATGTAGTGATAAAGAAACAGGACCTGCAAAAGGCCGCGAGGTTCAGCCCATGGTAGAATAATTGTTGGTTCAAGCGGTCGAATACGGCATCGCCGGCAGCAGACCGGGCAGGGGTCCGGGGGTGATCTGGCACCCTACAGGAACTTCTAATTAGGCAGGGTTCTGTAAGCCTGTAGGGCTTAGATAGTTACCGTAGCGGTAAGGTAGCAATAGCGTGCCCCCGCGACTCCTGTGCATGACAAGTAGGTACTTAACCCAGCCCAAGACAAAACAAGCACCCTACCATAAAACGACATGACAGCAACCAACCCAACCGTAACGCTCTTCTGTGAATGAAGAAATCACCAGCTTGTAAGCGGAAACAGAGCAGGGCAGATCAGAACAAAAAGGGAGAGCCCCATGTGGGACTCGAACCCACAGCCTTTGGATCTCATTTTGCAGAAGACGCATAAAAGTCCAACGCTCTGACCAATTGAGCTAATAGGGCCAGGCACTTCGCTATATCTGGAATGCCGAGCCTTTTGCCAACGATGCTTACGACAGTAGCTGGCTAACTTCACCAGCCGAGCAAAACTTGTGTCATGAAGGAGAGAGATGATGCGAACTAGAGTGGACGGTTGGTTTGGTCAAGGGATAAAGGAGCAGTGAAAGCGAGGTGATGCTAGGGAGGGCCTGTTGACGATGGTTCCCAAGTCACTAACTAGGTGCCCAGGGAATAGGAACATAGCTAAACGTAGGTCTTGTATGCTTCTCATCTCACTGTCATGGCCAGGATGCAGTAACATGATAAGCTGGGGTTCTCAGGTCGCTTCTCAAAAACAAGTATATTCGAATCCCACAGTGTATTAGTGAAGAAGCATGCTGAACTATCCGGATACCTTGAAAATACCTCGACCAAACATAGCCATTACCACCTCCCACCTCGCCATCTCCTTATATCCTTCTGGAACTCTATCCAGGCTTCGAAGAATTATACCACCAGATGAGAAGCCAAGCAAGCGAGCCCGACGACGCCCAGGAACATCCGAGAATCAACCACATCCCGGGCTCCGCTCGCCTGAAAGACAGAGGGCGTCGCCGTCAAGGTCGATGTGCGCGTTGCTCCTGTTCTAGTCGCGGTCTCACCCCCGCCCAACAACAAGCTCGACGTCTCCACGCCCCGGGTTAGAGAGAGAGTGGGAGCGCCGCCGACTAGGTCTGACGACAAGCTGCCCGTCACGCCGTCGACGTCAGTAGCGGCTACGGATGTGTTAGTCAAACGTCCCAATACTCCATCGCGGAAAACAGGGAGAGCGGCTGCCTACTGGTGAGCGAGTCGCATGACGACGTGGTATTGCCCACGACAAAGCCGGTGGTGGATGGCGTGGGGGCGCTGAGGGTGTCGGTAGTGCTGCCTTCTCCAGGGATGCCGGTAGCGTCGGCCGTAGAGGTGCTGGACGGGCTGGACGGGCTGGACGGTCGAGGTGAGCGAGAGGGCGACCGAGAAGCCGAGACGAACACGGTGTTCTTGGAGGTAAGAGTGGTGCCGGTGGTGTCCTCGCCAGTCGTCTCCGAGCTACACTCGGGCTGCCAGACCGTCACCGTATGGGTCACGGTAATAGGCCTGGTGACCGTGACCGAATCCACAGTCGTAACGAGCGTGGTTGCAGGGGGCGTGCCCACGTCCAGGGAGAAACTAGTCGTCGTCGTGTCGACGATCGTATCTGTCACGTCCCCGTAGCCATAGCCTTGCGGGGTGCTCGCCAGGATGGGCGTGGCAGCTAGGACTACCGTGGCCAGGACCTTGCTGTAGAGCATTTTGAGAACGAGTGACTATGAATCAGATAACGAGGAACGGAAAGAGTGGCAGGAACAGGATATTGGGTTCTGGGGATGTAATGGGAGAGATTCAGAGGACAGGCTACCTCCGAGGTGTGCCCTCATATATCCCCCCTACCCAAAACAGTACAATTTCGTCGCGTTGCACCTGGACAGATGAGCGAGGGATGGCAGATTACACGTAGATGCCGGCAACCTGAGCGGCGAAAAAATCTTCATCCGTTGCCCGCCCTAGCGGCCCGTGTTATGTGATACCAATAACGGTTTGATTCAGCTGTTGCCCGTTGGTGTGACACTCAAGACATGGAAACTGGTCCTGTGTGTTTGGACGCAATAGAATTGCCATCGTACAGAGTCTGCGACTGATGGCCCGTCAGAAATTAGAACGTGCCACTTTGGTCTTGAGTGAAACACGTAATCGCACGACAGATATGCTGAGTGATAGTAAACGTGAGGTCGTCATGCGGCACCGTTCTGCTATTATGTTCTCTCGCAGTCCAAAGGTAGGCAAACGAAATGAACATGAGGACTCCACGTCCGTCACAATTTAACAGGCGAAGCTAGGCTATATATCGTCTTGAATCGCTGTATGTGCTCGTATGCTTGATCAGTGCCGCGTAACAACGATGGGAGCCGACGACATTCCAGCCCACCTAGGCAACTCATCCAACGCACAGCTTCAATTGGATACGAATGGCATTAAACCAGGCATGTCCCAGGCAGTACAATGGAGGCCGTACGACACAACGCCGTCGACTGATGGTGAGGCATAGGAAATTAGACGATCACGGGCGTTCTAGGACTATCGCGTGACAAACATCTACTTTTTTCTATTCGTAGCCTATTTTCTCATTTAAAGATGGACAGCGGGAACTGGTCCGCAATAGCCTGGTAGCCCGCCGGATTGGGGTGCAGATGATCGCCGCCGTCATACTGCGAGGCCAGAGTCGACGGGTTCGCCGAATTGGCCAGGAACTTGGCGAAGTCGATCGAGGCGGAAAAGCTACCGTCGCCGCCGGCCAGAATCCACTTGTTCACCGTCTGCCGCGCCGAGTCGCGCGTCGGGTTGCTATACGACTGGCCGCTGCCGCCGAAGGGCGTGATGGTCGCGCCGAACATGGTGATGCCCGCCGCCTTGGCATCGCTCGCTATGGTCTTGAACGACGACTGTAGGCTGCTGCTGATTCGAGACTGCGTGCCCGAGTCCGTTGACCCGCCGCCGATGTCGTTGACGCCTTCAAATATGAGGCCGTACTTGACGCCCGCCGTGGCCAGTAGATCACGCTTGTAACGCTGCATCAGTGGCGGACCTAGGCCCCCCGTCAGCACCGTGTTACCGCCCGCTGCTTGGTTGACGACGGCAATGTTTGTGATGTTCTGTGCCTGCATCTTAGCGATGAGCAGGTCCGGCCACCTATTACACCATGTTAGCGCCCACAAGACCGTCTCCTCCACGGTACAAACAAGTCTTACCGGTTGTTCTTATTGTCGGTGCTGCCCCGCCCGTCTGTGATGCTATCACCGAGGATCACCAGGGCTCCCGTCGACTTCGGCGCCCAGGCCTCGACCGCATTCAGAAAGTACCAATGGGCCGTGCTAGCCCCGGTTACGCTGGAGGCGTTGACGCGGTTCCCCTGCTGCATCCACGAGGTGGTACGGCTGCCGGGGTGCCCCGTTATGCTGTTTCCAGACTGGCCGGCCTGCGAGTAGAGGGTGACGGTGATCATAGACTGGGGCTGGATCTTGACGTCGATGGGGTCCGTGTAGGCCACCTGTCCCTGTGGGATGGTCACTGAGCTGGCGCCGTTGAAGGTGAGGCCCCGCAGAGTGGCCGTGTCGATGCCGCTGACGCCGGCCTCGCCTCCGGTGGGGAGAGCGAGTGACGCTGCCGTGATGGGCAGGGCGCTACCGCCGAACGTGTTGGAAATCTGGATACGGATCCTCTCGGCTCCGATGGACATGTGTAGCGTCTGGCGGAGTGTCGCATCCTTGAACACGCCGGATCCGGCCTACACGGGGACATTAGACACGGCTCGTCGCACGAGGAGACGTGGCTTGATGCGGCAAGAATACTCACGAAGGGAGATGGCGGGAGGTTGTTCTGTTCCACCAACTGCGGCATCGACGTCCATGTGGAAACCCAGTGGTAGTCCTCATCTTGCGCCTGGTGTCCCGGTTTCCCGGCACAGGTCGGCGACCCGATTACACATCTAGTCCATAGCAGACAGGCCAGCGACGACAACAACTTGAGTCTCGGGCTCCCCAACATGTCGGCGGTTCGTGAATTCGGGTTATGTAGGCTTATTGCTGTCGCTTCGTTTCCTTCTTTTCCCCACACAGTCGAGGCGGGCCAAGGCGACGACGACAATTCGCATGGCAGCATGGGCGTCGACGAGGATATTTATGTCGGCCCAGACCCATGATGCTGTGGGGTTTTCCCAGCATTGCGGACAACTAGGCTCCGAAGTACTCTACAGGTTTAGAGACCCCAACGCCATTTAACCGTAACTAGCGTATGGGACCGATGAGATGCCATCGAATGCTCTGAATGATCGAGTAATTTGCTTGAATGCAGGGCCTTGGACGGGAAGTTTACGCTGGTAGAATCGGGTAGACCTTAGGTACTTCAGTAGCCACCGGGGTTCAATTTAGATGCAAGACAATCCAATACGCCTCTGGCGGAGGGTACCCCAATTACCACACGCGCTCGACCTCAGATGAAATCTCGTGATCATCGTAACGGGCCTGAGCCGAGCTGTTCAATGTCAATGTTCAATGTCAATGGCAAGATGTTTGTTTTGCCGAGGATAAGACGACTTATGTCAGCATGACCATGACCGTACTTGTACGTGGTATCTAGTTAGATAGTAGCCCCCCATCAGAACCCCGAATGTCTCTCGGTGCGGGCAGGTTGCGGGGATCTACCGGTACATACGGATACCACCCACGCATTTAGACATCTACTTACGGCGCACACCTACATAGATAGATAGTACTGCGCAGATAGATGGTCGAGATGCAGGCGGGCGGAGAGGACAGCTGAGAACCACACACGGCACCGAGACACAAGGACACACCCCTGGGGATGACGGCGTGTGGTGAAGGAGGGCGTGATGTGGGCGGGTGATGCCATTGGCCATGGGGCCGAAGCCAGGAACGGGAGCGGGAACGGCGGTGAGCTGGGAACGGCCCATGCTACTACGGTACCACCTCCTCATGTACGTACGGAGTACCATGGAGCAATGCAATGGGACACTTGATGTGATGTGGACATAGTACCTGTACGAGACCGAGCAGCAGCCGCAGGGCCCGTGAGGCGTGAGGTGGGTGCCGGGCGAGAGAGATTTAGATGGTCAGTGATTGGACGGGGGCGCCCATGAACGGATTACTATGTAGAACAGAGGCATCTCTCCATTGCCAGGAGGGGTATAGCTGACTTATCTAGTTAGTTAGTTAGATAGTAAGTAGCGTAGTACTTATACTCCGTAGTGTGGGAGCTATGCGGACGCCCTCCGCCAAGCACATCCGCCTGCCCTGCCCCTCTCTCTTTATACCTATGTAGTACTTGATGACCATGCATCCATACAACAAATCCTCCGTCACCGGCTGCGGGCAACGGAGGAGTGGTACGGCCTGCAAACCACATTCCAGCTGCCCTGTTTCTTACAT